GAGCCTTACTTGGGCTGACGAAATGTGAGTAGAAGTGATGTGTGTCACTTCTGAGGAGTTTACAGAGCCAGCGAGCAACTCACCACCTCTGTCTCTCTCTGCCAGGACAGCTGGCAGAGCTCCAGACGGTGGCTGCTGCATCAGCCTTGGGGCCAGAGTAGTGCTCCCCCAGCAAACAAACCTCGTCCTAAGCCACCGGGGACCTGGGCTGCTGGTCATGGTAGCACAGCCCAGCACATCCTGACTAGTACAGTGAGAGCTACGAGGATGGAGACTTCGGGAAAAGGAGTTCTGTGAACGCCACGTTTACCCAAAGAGACATGTTACCGATGTTACCACTTACTTTTTCTTTGGTAATCTGCCATAGTCCAACAGGAATGCCCATATCTGATGAGTCCCTGCCATGGCTATCCACAGAATGTCATCTCTTTGGACCTCTGAACCTTTATGAAAATAAACAGTAATTACTATATATATATCTGGTTAATACAAACATTCCCAATCTTTCAGAAATTGAAATTAAGGGAAGACAGTAGTATGTTTATAAATCATCTGATAGAAGAAAGTAAAAATATTTGCAATGTTTTAAGTCATTTTGGAAATTTTTCCATTTTCCTTGTGAAAAGTTCACTTCTTTAGACTTATAAATTTACATTCACAGAAATCCGAAGTATTCTTAATAGCAAAATGTCCCTCTGCATCTCTGGGCACAATGTTTTTAAACATCTGATTTCTTACTTTATGTGACAGAGAAATGCATTGACACACACTCTCCAAAGAAACTCTGGCACTCAAGTACCTAAATTACATGCTTTAGGAATACAGGAATAGTTCTTTGAACAATTTCTCATGAAAGGACTGTATCTTTTAATAGTCTAACAAATGTATATTTCTACCCCAGTATTAGCTTTTAGACTTAGACTCACATCACTGCTGCTCTTAAAAAATCTACTGTTTAATTGTTGTGAACATTTTTCAAAAAGATATGGTTGACATGTAATAAACCTAAGAGTACACTATATTACAATATAGCTGTTTTCTAAAATTAATAATTTTCTGTTTTTTTAAGACTGATATTACAACTTATTACAATGTGACAAGGCTCTGTTTCTCAAATTCTATTTTTAAAATATTTAAGCTGTATTCTGAAGCTACTTTTATATGTAGTTGAGACATTTTCACTAAAATAATTTGGTCAGACATATGCTAAAATAAACATATTGGAAAGGCTATTTTATTTGTACTTTCTTTAACTTCAAGTAGTTGTGTCCAGAAGGAATTTTTCTTCCTTAACTTGAATTACTTTCAAGTGTCTTTTAATTTAACAAAATTAAGTTTTATTTAATTTAAATTTTGTTTAATTTAACAAAAATAATGCTGATGGTCAATAAACTGTGGTTGCTATGTGCCAAGCACTTTACAGAGATTATCACTTAAATCTTCTCAAAAGGCCCTTCTTACAGGCCCTTTACAAAAGAAACTGAGGCTTAGACAGGTTAGCTAACTTGCCAGGATCACAGAGCTAGTAAATGAAGGAACTGGAATCTGAACCCAGGAAGTCCAACAAGAAAATCTATTCAACATGCTGCCTCTTTCGCTGTGTTAATTGCTATCATATGAAATCTAAAGGAAAGTAGTTTATTTCCATTTAATTTTTCATAGTCAAATATTTTTAATAAACATAAATTAAAAGTGACAGTGCATCCATTATATTCTGGGGACTCAGTCTCTGCTTAATCACTTTAGAACTAGATCAAAAGCTTTTCATTATTATATTCTTTTACTTTATTTTGCCCCTGCCATGTGAAGACAAAGGTTGAAGGTGACTGTCTATAAGCCAGAAGAGAGCTCTCACCAGAAACCAATCATGCTGGCACCTTGACCTTGGACTTCTAGCCTCCAGAACTGTGAGAAAATAAAATTGTTGCTTAAGCCACCCAGCCTGTGGCATTTTGTTATGGCAGCCCGAACTAAGACATTCCCCTGAGAATAGAAATGAGACAAGGAGATCTGCTATCAAGACTTATTTAGCATCATATGAAGGTCCTAATTCATACAAGAAAAAGAAGCAAAAAGCATAAAGATTGGAAATAAAACTATAATCATTAGAATATGACATGGGTTTAAAGCCTCTCTACTTTGCCAAAGAGCTGTGTTGGTATATACAGGAGTGAAAGACCAGATCAGGTCTCCATTATCTAATTCTCCAAACAGGCCAGGCTAGTTCAACTAGGGTCTACCTATGAGGCCAAAGCTTCATTGTAGTATTACTGTGAGCATCTGTTTGGTCTTGGTCTCTGTGTACTTATTTCTTTTAGAAGCTGGAGGTATGAGAAATAGTGTAGAAGCAGAGGCTGTGTCAGGTCGGGATTCAGGAGTTTATGATTCTACATACCAGTTGATGAGGATGATAATGACGACGGGGGGCATGGTGGTGAAAATGAAAACCATTCGGAACATTTCCTGTTTAAGGCACTGAGCTAATAATAAGCACTTTATGTGGATTATTTCCTTTAACAACACTAACAAGTCTAATTATTATCATCTCCATTTTATAAAGAAATTGAAATTCAAAGGGGTTGAATAACTTGTTGGTATTCACACAGCTAAACCTGGAATAATAATCCATTAGTGAGTCCAATTCCAGATTATTAGTGTTCTGATCAGAATGAAGGAACTAAAGAAGTGAGCCTGTGCTCTTCTGGCCAACACGCTGCTTGGCCCATTCTCTTTTCCCTCCCTTCCACCCCTGCTCCATGGACTTAGCTTTGGATTCAATTACCCAAGTGCATTTTTTTTTTTTTTTTTTTGCGGTACGCGGGCCTCTCACTGTTGTGGCCTCTCCCGTTGTGGAGCACAGGCTCCGGACGCGCAGGCTCAGCGGCCATGGCTCACGGGCCCAGCCGCTCCGTGGCATGTGGGATCCTCCCGGACCGGGGCGCGAACCCGTGGCCCCTGCATCGGCAGGCGGACTCTCAACCACTGCGCCACCAGGGAAGCCCCCAAGTGCATTTTAATGTGTGATCAGAAATTGAGATCTGATCAAACGTAACCAAGGCTTTATACTCCAGTATTTGTGGCTAGGTCACTCCTTCTGCCCTTCTCTTCTTGTAGCCTCTGGAATAGCCTGTGGCCAAATAATCTCTTTCAAGTATTTTTTCCAGTCCCTTGCCTTTCCATTTTTGGTTTGGTTCAGCTTATCAACATCTCCTTGAGATTTTTATAATGAGAATCTTATAGCAAACAACAATAACAACAGACACTTATATAGTACTTTCTATGTGCCAGGCACTGTTCTGGGTGCTTTCCATATATTAATTCTCATAATTCTCACAATAAGCATTAGAGGTAGATACTATTAGTATCTCCCATTTAGATGAGGAAACTGAGGCATCAAGAGGCTGAGTAACTTGTCCAAAGTCACACAACTACTAAGATGTGAAACTAATTAGAACCCAAGTGGTCTGGCCCCAGAGTCCAGGCTCATCACTTCCTTGCTAAACTGCCACTCAAGAAGTTTTTACCCTGCCTAACCATTTCACTGAGGGCTGAAGAGTTTGTTCTTGTAAATAAAATGGGAGTTAAAAAAAATGGGGGGGTGTAGCCTGGCATTTATAATGTCTATCAAACTAATAATCATGTTTATACTGTTTATCCTGGATTTTTAAATCTAAAGTATATAGTTGTGGGACTTCTCTGGTGGTGCAGTGGTTAAGAATCCTCCTGCCGATGCAGGGGACATGGGTTCGATCCCTAGTCCTGGAAGATCCCACATGCCACAGAACAACTAAGCCTGTGCACCACAACTACTGAGCCTGCGCTCTAGAGCCCACGTGCCACAACTACTGAGCCCGCGCTCTACAGCCTGCGTGCCACAACTATGGAAGCCTGTGCGCCTAGAGCCTGTGCTCTGCAACAAGAGAAGCCACCAAAATGAGAAGCCCACACACCACAACAAAGAGTAGCCCCTGCTCGCCGCAACTAGATAAAGCCGGTGCACAGCAACGAAGACCCAACACAACCAAAAATAAATAAGTAAAATAAAATAAAAAATAAAATTTCCATCCTGTTGGGAAGAAGTCTCTTGACTTTCCCCTCAGCTTTAAAAAAAAAAAAAAAGGGGGCTTCCCTGGTGGCGCAGTGGTTGAGAATCC